AATCGAATCTAATGAATGATTATGTGCGAACAACTACATGCAATGAACCTACTACTTGATCATGTAACTATATGTACTATTCATTATGGTGTAGTTGTGATTGTGGTTGTGCTGATTGAATCGAGTGTCACGTTCCGACACATGCATTGGATCGAGTGTCACGTTCTGACACATATATTGAACCGGGTGTCACGTTCTGACACATACATTGGATCGGGTGTCACGTTCTGACACACTAACAATTTGGGTATGAGTTTCATGAGAGAATCACTTGTGATTATTATGTTTATGTCTACTTGTCATGGATATTGGGAGATTGTATGTTGCTCTAAAATGATAACTGAATTGTGCATTCTGTATATATGTGCTGACTGTGTAGTAATTGCTTGTGTATATTGTGCTTACTGGAGTGGTCGCGTTGTCCTACCAGTACACTCTGGTTGTGTACTGATACTGCACTTACTCGTTCTTTGTTGAGTACAGGACATCTTCAAACGGCTACTGACAGACCTCAGTTAGAAGATCACTGATCGAGACCGGATTCAAGGGTGAACCAGTTCTTCCAAGCTGTCATGGGTCCTTTATTGTTTAGTCCATTCTTTTCGGAATCAGACTCTATAGTTTGACTTATTCGTATGTTAAGTTTCGGGGTTGTACCTATCTTTCTTAGACTTGTTGATTAGTAGAGTTTTGGTGCAATGACTTTCAAGTTCTAGGGGTTGACTTCCGCAATAGTTTGTTTAATTGTTTATTCTTTGGAGTTTATGGAAACTCCGTTTTTATCCATCATTTAAACCTACCCGTATCTTTAAATGCTTAGTTTTTCGTTAAGTTCCTTAGTTGGGTTGTAGTAATGGTTCTCCCACCGAAGGGTTAGTATGGGTGCCAATCACGACAGGTTGAGTCGTGACAATTACTTATGCGTCACACAATGTTAATGAAAGGTTTTTGTTTTGCGTAAACGAAATGTGGTGCACAAAATATGATTAATTCTGTTGGCTGAATGAAAATCATTGTTAAAAACAAATTTAGAGTGATAGAAAATAAATTGCAATCACAAATAAAATATGAAGAAACATAGTTTTATTCATCAAGATTGTGAGGAAAAATTTCTTCTCCCTTGATTCTCCTCCATTTAGATTTCTCCGTAATTCGAGGGTCGTTAATGTCCTATTTCTCGAACTTAGATGATTTGGACTTGATCTCCATAATTCGAGGGCCGTTAGTGACGTATTTCTCAATCAAGGATAATTTGGACTTTATCTCCATAAAAGGATTTGTGAATGTTCTTGAAGTATTTGATTATATATCATATATCAAGAAGACCGACATATTTTGATCTCATCTTTGTAAATATTCCATGAATTTGTGAAATTTTCGAGATGCCTTTTCAAACTTTGCAAGGGAATATAGTACCATTTATATAAGCATTAACTAAGGTTTAGGGTTGAGTAGCCTGCAAAAATCCTAGTTGGAATTGAACATACCTTATAGAGTCCCAATCCGAATTGATACACGTCTTGTAGAGTCCCACAAAATTTTAATGTCTGTGATCGTCATTTTCCCTTTTTGACTTGACAACTCTATTTGCTCAACACAAATTTTATTTTAACCTTCAGTTCTTCACATACAACTTCACTATCTAGCTAGCTCTGACTCGAAAGCACACATACAATAGGTAAAAATGCATCAATTCAATCCAATCATAACTTAGTTATACAAAATGAATAAATCAATATCGAAAATATATAAAAGTGAAATTAAAGTACATGTTTGACTATAGTATAAAATTATTAATGGGGTGTACGGCACGATACATGTGATATTATACTATACAAAGTTGCCGTCCTTGCTGGCTATTACTGTACATTTTTCTGCCTCTTTATTTTGTGACACGTACATTTATTTAAATGTGAGAATATGTTAATTAATTACAAAAAATCTTCATATTATGAGAAATTATTCCTACTTTCTTTTAAAGATATGATTTCATATTTAGTATTAGAAGTCGCCTAGGCCACATTATTTATCAATGTATGGTTAGGTAGTAGTGGGGTGGATTTAGATATTCATTTAATTACTAGTTCACGTAAATTCAATTAATTTTATTTTTATTTATATATATAATTATTAAATATTTAATTATAAATATATGATTGTACATTCAATTATTATGGCTATTAATTTGAGATCGTTATAAAAGCTTGTAAATTTTAAATTGTGTATTCGTCGTTTCTGTGTATAGGGTGGACTTTGACTATATACGTATATATAATGATTCTGATACTTGTAAAGTATATATACTCTTTTCTAAGTTTAGTAATAGATCCAGTTTATTATACTAAAAAAAGAAGCAATTGGAGGAATATATTCTTTTTTTACTTTTTCTTCTCTTTTTATTTTTATTTCTTATATGGATTAATTGACGATTGTTTCCTCACCTTATAATCCTCTTCCTCATTATACTTTTTCCTGTATCCAATTTAGAAATAAAATATAACAAGATTGATGACAGTTTGTCAAGTATTCAGTTTTGACGTATTTTCCCTTTATGTTTGTCCCAAAAAAAATCTTTCTATTATTTGAAATACTTAAACTTTAAAATTGTCATTTTAATTACTATTAATGAGATAATTTATAGTCATATCAAATTTAAATTAATTTTTTTCCTTCTTTATTTTGTGACCAATCAAAGTACATTACATAAATAATTAAATAAAAGGATCACTCGTATAGAAGAATTAATTAATTAAATAAAATAAGTGGTTTATATTACAAAAAAGGCATGAATAATAAAAAATCGAAAGGGGTCAATATCGACCGTATGTACATTATCTAAGTTATTAGTTTAATTAATTTTATATATACAAAGATAAAGAGCAAATACATGTATTATTTATGTATCAAAAATTATGAGTGCCATGCCTTTTGTACTATTAAGCATCTACACAATTAATGTCTTTATTATCTTTTTTATTAATTTATTTATAGATATTCCCCTTTTGTGTCAAGGAATTTAATAGTAATATTTAATTTTGCCATTTTATTGGAAAGCTAGCCATTAGGTTCTCTCCACGAAGCACTTGAACAGAATAAAAACTTAGTTACGTTAAAGTGGACAAGTAAAAATAAAAAAACTATATTTAATAAAATATTAAATAAGTAAAAATAAATAGAGAAAGAAAATAGAAATCATTACCATAAAAAATCATAAATGATAAACCACATAAAAAAAATCTACATTCTTTCATTATTCTTTGCATAATGATTGATACTTTAAGTAAATGATTCACCACAGAAGAAAAAAAATGTAGTATATGTGTTGATTAGCCGTTGAACATTGGAAAACTAATTAAACAGAAAGCTTAATTTGCATTTTAGAGTATTTGAATATGGGTTGTTTAAACGTTTTGCGCCCTAGGGCAAAAATTAAAGATCAGTCATTTGAAGAGTAAAATATTCAATTTTATGATTGAGGGTATTTTGGTATGAAGGAAATTTTTAATTTTTTCATGTTCGATTGATCAAATATTCTGAAAAAATATTTTAGGAAAAAAAGCTACATACTTAAAAATGAAGACAATAATTTTTCTAATGAAAGTAGAGAAAGCAAGTCCTATTCGTGACATTCCACATTGATTGTGATTTGTGTCCATTCCGCCCTCCAACACAGCTCATACTCACCCCATCCATTACATTCCTCATCACCACCATCCTACCACTATCTCTCCACCCCCACCCCCCACCTTCCATAATATTTGTCTAAATTATATGCAAATGTTTTAAGAGAATATTTTTTTTACTAATTACTTATCAAACACAAAAAAATAAGTAAAAAAATCATTTATTTTTTTAAAAAATATTTTCATTCGTACCAATCACACCCCTAATCTCATTTCAATTTATTATACTCAAAATAATGCTAAAACGGATGCTACATCTAGGGCCGGTTATACACACAGATGGGCTAAATACCCATCAAGAAATTTCATTGGACTTGCATGTTGCATCTCTCTAGACTTTGGGCTTATCTACCTGAAGAATGTAGGAACTTTTACATGAGTGGTCATGTGGGATAATAAAAACAAATTACAATAGTTTAGGAGTAAATTATTTTTATATTACGAATTATATCAGAATTTAGATTAGATGCCAGATACATGTGGGTCAAAATTAGGTATAATTTGTTCCAGATACACTGTATTCAAGTGGATTTGCATGTATCTAATTATAACTCTCTCACTCGCCTCTCTCCTTCTCTCCCTCGCCTTTCTCACTCTCTCGCTTGCCTCTCTCCTTATGTATCTGTATTTCAGAATGTATCACATATACATGTATCTAGTGTGATTCACATGTATCTGGGATACACCGACTACCTTGCTCGCCTATCTCTCTATTTCAATGCACCCGGTAGCAAAATACATGTATCTAGGTGTATCTAACTTGAAATATTGTATGACATTATTAATGAGAGAGACAATATGTAATCATTTCAAACTATAGGGAGAAATAGTAAATATGATAGTAATATTGTGTAATTAAATAGTTTTTTTTGTAATAAAACAATTACCCGTCTATACTCATTTATAAAGTCTCTCATTAAATAATTAAATTTTTATGTCCAAACGCCCCCTAAAAATGTAACCGTATGGTCAAACTATTTTATCCAAAATAAGAAAAAAATATAAAGGAAAAAAAAAAAAGAAGAAAAAAAAAGTACTACATCCATGATTATATTCTCCTCTTCTTGTTTCTTTATTTCCCACAAATCATGAATGTTATCTCATGAGAATAACATTCTTGATTTGTCATCCTCCTCCTAATTGTCTTGTCTTTCTACCTTTAACTCTTTGTCAATATATTCATAAAATTTTTGTATTCTAATATTTTCCATTATCAATATTCAAAGAATTAATTAACCATATACAATGGCTTTAATTTCAATAAGCAAGATTTATTTTTAGGAGATTATCATCGAAAGCGAGCAAAAAATTAGAGATATGGGTGCATGTTGTTCATGTCAAAGGGTGCGCCATTTCGATCATCAAGGGAATTATCGTCACCATAATTATATTAATGGTGATGATAAAGAAGATAATATTATTGTTGAAGATGATCATCATGGTGTTGTAGGAAAGGGAGATTTTGGTGCTAATATTAGGTTACATGGATATTCTAAATTTGTATCTATGTATAGTCAACAAGGTAAAAAAGGGATTAATCAAGATGCCATGACAGTTTGGGAGGTAATATTAGTTTTTTTTTTTATTTCTATTGTATATATTTTATGACATATTGTTATTATAATTGTGGGGCTGGTATTGGTTACGATGTGAATTCATCTTAGTCGAATGCCTCATCAGAAAAGTGAAGGTGAAAGTTCATAATTCAATTGTTGAACAGATAATATCTTGATAGTTGGACCTGAACGTTTTTGTAGAATGTCTTTAGATTGATATTTCCATGTTCTTTTGTGTTTCTTGGATTGGAATTTTAATCATGACACATTGTCATATTTAAATCCTCATGATGTTCAAATTCATCCCTTCATATTGTTTGTTATTTTTTCCCCTGAAAATGGATTATTATAAATATGACTAATAAATTTATTTCATACATAATATGTGCAGAATTTTGGTGGAGAGAAAGGTGCGTTTTTTTGTGGCGTATTCGATGGGCATGGTCCATCCGGTCACAAGGTGGCACGCTATGTGCGTGACTTGTTACCATCAAAAATTTCGATATCGTTGAAAGAGAGTGATATTAATGAGAATGAAATTATTAGAAACATCGAAAATGATGAAGAATCTAATCAGAATTTCCCATTATTTGATGCATGGAAATCTGCATATCTCAAGTCCTTTAAAGAAATGGATGAACAACTTGGAAGGGAACCTTCAATTGAAAGTTATTCTAGTGGCACAACAGCTGTTACTTTATTTAAACAGGTAATTAATTAACCTTTCATTTTATGAGGATATGATGGTCATTTCAACTTTATTTTATTTCAATAAAGTCATTAAAATACCTTTTTGTTTTTACTCAACTAAATATCATGAAGTCATGACTAACCAATTTGTTGTAACCAAAATGTCACATAACTTTACCTAACACTACATAAAAAAATATCACTAGCGATAATTAATTAACGGTAATAGTTTAATTATCGCTAAATATGTATATGTCCCTAAAGCCTTTAACGACATTGATTCTAATAGCACTTAACTAATGCCGGTAAAATTTTTAGCACTCTGTATTAATGTCTATACTTATTGCCGCTAAAAGTTGTTTTCGTCGTAGTGTAAGTATCATAGACACACACTTAGACAAAATTTGTTTGTGTCCAAAAAGTCACTAACTTTGATAAATCAAATTCATCATTTGTTTCATCATAACGACTTTCTGCGAAACGTAGGAAGAGTTGAGTAACTTTTTCGTTATAAATAATAGTTTAGTGACTTCATGATACTTAGGTAAAATTGAGTTTCGTTACCAAAAAAAAAGGTTTAGTGACATGGTGTAGTAAAATGAAAGTTGAATGATCATCAATGAGTTTAACCCTTTATTTTATATTTGTATTAAGAAAGAAAAAGAAAGAGATTTTTTAGCGCATATTAAAACTATATTTGAAACTTATGGTTTAAAACATTTCATAAACATTCTTATAATCTTATAGTTATATATAAAAAATGTCATTAAAGATAAAACGAGAAGAAGCTTATGGTTTGATGGATAATTGACTTGTGATTTTTTTTATTTATTCTAATTATGAATTGTGGTATTTTCAGGGGGAACATTTGTTCATTGGAAATTTAGGTGATTCTAGAGCAATTATTTGCACTAGGGATGAGAAGAATCAACTTGTTTCCCAACAACTCACTGTGGACTTGAAGCCTCACCTCCTAAGTAGGTTCTCTCAGTCATTCAGTATTCAGAATTCATTAATTGACTCGAACTTACAAAAAAATTCACCAAATAATTTTAGAAATGAGCATGATTTGAACTTTGAACTTTTACTTGCCCATGATATAACCTTAAAAGTCCAAAGTTAAAATTTGAAGTTCAGTCCATGTGGCAAGTGAAGTCAAAAGTCCGAGTCTACCACCACCAAAGTCATTTTTGTAAATCACCCTCGAATTTGTGCCTCATAGTCTCTCAGAAGTCTCATTTATTCCACCATACTTTTTCGCAATTTCGTAAGAAAATATTTAACGTAACTCAATTACATAATTTAAACTTCATATATTTAACGTATTCATTGTATTATTATTTTTCATTAGATGAATATGAAAGAATTAAAAGTTGCAAAGGAAGAGTAATGGCAATGGAACAAGAACCAAATGTGTATAGAGTATGGATGCCAGATGAAGATTGTCCTGGCCTTGCCATGGCTAGGGCTTTTGGTGATTTTTGCTTGAAAGACTATGGTCTCATCTCTACCCCTGAAGTTTATTATAGAAAACTCACTGAAAACGACGAATTCGTCGTCTTGGCTACTGATGGGGTAAGTTCAGTAACTTAATTCCACTTGCACGTATGACATTTTACGCACAATTTATAACATTTTACTCGCGTTTTATGTTGATAGTGTAAACTATTCTAGCTAGCTTAATTCATCTTGCATGTGTGACATTTTATACCGATGGTGTAAACAATGCTAGATGACTTGATTCCACTTGCACGTGTGACATTTTACGTGCATTTTATACTGATTGTGTAAACATTGCTAGGTAACTTAATTCCACTTACACGTATGACATTTTATACTTATAGTGTAAACAACTAACCAAACTAAGTTGACTTAAGACATTAGGTAAAACTCTTCGTATCAAGTCTGATATGATAACTTGAATAACAGAGTAACAATGTGTTACAACCAATTAAGATTGGTTTTTGTTATAATGACGTTGATTGTCAGTATGTATATATATCTTAAACTCTATTTGTTCATAGGTATGGGATGTTTTAACCAACGATGAAGTGATCCGAATAGTTTCTACAACAAGAAAGCGATCAATGGCAGCAAAAACACTAGTAGAATGTGCAGTTCGAGCATGGAAATACAAGTATCCACGCGCGAAAATTGATGATTGTGGCGTAGTTTGCTTGTTTTTCAAACGCCAAAAGCCTCTGTTAACAAAATCTATGTCTGAGGTTACTCAATTGAGCTTCAATTATGCAGAATTAGCAAACGATCAAAATTACCCTGATAACACGAAAACAGATGATGGACTAGATACATTGCTTAATTATCAAGTCAAAGAAGGAGATGATCAAGAAATTGATCGCGGAGTTAAGGATGGATCGGTTAATGATAACAAGAATTCATCGACAGATCATCTACATTATCGAGGCCAACGAAGAAAATCTGCGATGAAATTTGTGTATCCTGAAGATCATCAATAATATGAGGCTTGTATACATATAAGTAGCCAAAAAAAGAAGAACTCCAAAGGCAAAACAGAGTGGTAACAGAGTAAATTGGTGACAAAATAAGGGTTATAAAATGTTCACGATCGTTAATCTCTGGTGTATATAACTTAAACTCTTAAGAAAAATGTACAGTTGAAAATCACATCTTAAGTCATCCCAAGACAAGACATGAACCTCTAAATCGTGACATGTATTTTAGAGGGCTAATGTCTCAATAAGACAAACTTCAGTCCTATGCACGAGTTTTAACATCTCACAATATATCGAAAAAACGCCACATGTACTTGGATTGCCATCATAGCTAAATATCCCAAGTTTTTTTTTTTCTCTTTAAACATTCTTTGAAGTGTTTATAATTGTTTGCATAATATGTTGTTCTATTAGTGAGAATCTAATAATTACTTACGGTATTGCTATGTAATGTGTACATATCTTATAACTTAATTTTGTAATGCTTTTGACCAATTTTATACAAGTTTTAATGTAATTTTCTTAATATTTTCATATTTTGATCTATTTTAAAATTCTTCTATATTCTTTTAAAATATATATGTAAAAAAATGAAGCATTAGTCTGCAAATGACCTAAAAGACATTCAAACAGGAATTAGAAGGGTGAACACCTAAATTTTGCACCATTTTATTTTTATACTATAGTTGACGATGTTTAGCTTATTTTTATACATTTCTCAATGGACTACAAAATGGGGGCATATCACTCATTTTTCTTCAATGGTTTTATCTTGTTTTTCGTATAAGCGTCAAAATTTATCTGATGTTAACGCCAAGCTTACGCAAGATATGTCATGTCCATATATATATATATATATATATATATTGGTTTATCACTTGTTTTTCAACATATTGTTTGACTAATATATTCCTGAACTAAAACAAAATCACAAATTCAAAGTAGAAAGATAGTTCCATTCTATATTCTACCAAACGGCATAAATTTAGTTTTAATAGAAAAGATAAATTTGATTATAATATTATGATATTCTATCCCTAGTTAGCCGAAAGTAGCAAATTTGTACAAGTTCTCTTCAAGATAAAAAAGGCTAACATAGAAATAGAACAAATAATTAATAGATTATATTTTCTTCCTTTTTTTCCCAACATTTTAGTTTATCTATCGGGTTTATCCATGCTCCACGCATTAAGAGTCTCAATTGTGATTGTCTCAATACCATTATTGAAAGCAAGTAAACGTGCTTCACTGAAGAGGGATAATGCTGGATAGACCCTTGATGTAATACATGTTTTTCCACCAGCACCAAAGCTTTCGACTACAGAATGATCAATCTGTAAAAAGAAGGGGGAAATAGGTTAACAAGTTTTCATGCCACACAAGGAAAAAAAAAGAAAGTTTGAGTTTTAATTAGTACATTTTGTGGAAAAATAAATAACAAAAAAGCTTACCAAACTTCTTAGCGATAGTTTTTTGTCTGATAAATCAACATCAACAAATCCAGCAAACGATGGTTTATACATTTTGGGGTTACTTCTGGCAGATGACCTATTGCAAAAAAAAATAAAAATATATTCAATAACAAGGTTTTCTATTGTAAAGATGTAAATAGAACAATTTGTTTTTAAGATTACTAATTTCACACTTTAAAAATTAAAGTTATCCTATAAATATCATTTGGATGATCAAATCATTTGAAAAATTATTTGGACGATTTATAGAACTTAAAGAAAATAGGTGGGTCGGGGTGAATAGATGTCTGAAGAGTGAGAAAACTAACCTTGATGCATCAGAGCACATGAGAACCTTGTATTTATCTTGAACCTTGAACACTCTAAAGAATACGGGTGTGTATTCTTCCAAGTTTTCAGAAGCCAATGTTAAAAGTCCAAATGGCCCAAGTCCACCTTGAACTGATGAACCCCTAATGGCACATACATCTTTGGCATAAAGATCGGTCCAACTAGGATCAAATTCTTCTGCATTTTTCAAGCTTGAAAAAGAAAATGTCACTTCAACATCAGCCTGCCATTAGATTAACACCCAAAAATTAGTTGTAATGTTGTCTTGACATAATGATTTCATAAAAAAAAAAGATCAATTCAAAGCATGACTCATTTTGTATCCCAGCAAATTAAAAAAAAAAGGCCACAGGCTAGCTAAGTCGAATGATGTAGGGCGCTTTGACATAAGTTATTGTGTTAATTTCATGACTCAAACACGTAACTTATAGATCAGAACAATTTCATACAAAGAGATGCATTATATATTTTGTAAACCAAAAAAGATACAAACCTGTGTAGCCGTGATTCCTTCAACTTCAACTGTTTCTCCTTTGTCCAAGTTGTGATTTCTTAGCTCAACCTTTTTCTTTCTGAGGGTTTCTAATTCTTCAACCGGCCATTGAACCAACTGTTTACCACTAGGATCAAGCCACAATTTGCGAGGAATAGACTGAATTCCTGCCCATCCTTTCTTGATAGCATCTTTTGGAACAACATCCGATTCGTTGGCCCATCCCCACAAAACTCTTCGATTCTTGCTAGGATCATAGAAAGTCTTTGATGCATAAAAATTACCATAATCCAATCTCAATCCCTTCCATCCATCTATCATTGTATCGTCCGGAATATACCTATCATTTTTTGTGTCATAAGTACCAATTGTATAGTACTCAAATCTTGTATCATCCAAACTAACTTTAAGGACGTGTTTAACATTCTCACCATCAACTGATGTGTCCAAACCATTTGTATGATTCAATGACACTGGGAAAAAATCAGGACATTCCCAATTTCCAGTCTTGGAAGAAGAATGAAGTGGATGCTGGGCTTTGGTCCATTTTAAGAAGTCCCTACTCTTATATAATATTGCCACTCCTCTATGTCTTCTAGCACTACCAACCACCATCCTCCACTGTCCATCTCGGCCCAACCATGCGGTTGTTGGATCACGAAATTGGGTCTTATTGATGCTATTGTCAGCAACTATTAATGGATTATTATCAGGCTTGATCCACTTACGAAGTAATGGGTCAGACACATCAGCAGGTATGGCATAGTTTTGCACTTGAGTATTATTAGCATCCACTATTCCAGTGTACAGAATAACAGGCTTGTTATCCGGGAGAATAGTGACTGAACCAGACCATGTACCATATTTGTCAAACTCTTTGGATGGATAAATTGCATGCTCTACACGATTCCAATTAATTAAGTCAATAGATACTGAATGAGCCCAAACAATATTTCCCCATACCGCTCCTTTTGGATTGTACTGATAGAATAGATGGTACACTCCATTGTAATACATCGGACCTAATAAAAAAAAGAGCAAAGTCAATAACCAAATTAATACTAATGAAATGAGATTTTAGCTAAATTTTAATAAAAATTATTAAATATAAAACTCGATCTTACCATTAGGATCTATTGTTTGTTGTTTGGAAGCATCCGAACCAAGGCCATAAAAAAGAATTAATGGAAAATGATTAGTAAAGTCATTTCAATGCAATTAAAAAGAAATTGTAAAGTAATAAATTTAAAAATTAGAATATTCCAATTAAATATGAAAAAAAAAACATGAAAATCAATCATAGAGCTTATATTATATTCAAGATCATCTTTGAAATCGATTTATCGTGTTATATATGCTATGTTTTTTTTGTTCCTTACAACAATATTTTTAAATAACAATAAAAAATATCCGAACAAGTAACACTATTATATTATAAATTTATAAATAATCATGACTATTCATAAAATATCTAGGTAATGTAAAACAAAATATATGTGTTTTTAAGCATATTATTAACAGAGAAATTTACTGTAGTTTTTAACAGAGAATTCATGCATGGGGACTTTGATTTGTAAGTTCAGTTAACAAATATTTATCGGATTCAATTGAACCTAATATTTATGTGATGCATTCAGACTAAACACATAATTTAAGGGAAAAAGTAAAATAAAACTTATGGCTTGAAACATATTATAAATATAAATCATTTCATTAAATTGAGATTGTTTCTGAATCTAGAATGATATTATTCTTTTTGAAATAAGCTGAACATAAATTAGAATATAACTAGTAAATATAAAATTTGGAACTCCTAATTTCTGGTATCTTTTAATGTTGAATTAATTATACATTAATTGCGAATATATTTTAATTATTAATGCTTTCTTGATTACTATTAAAAAAATTATTTTTATTTGGGCACCATTTGTTTGGATAAAGCAGTATTTAAAATGAATTGAATGCAGTTTTGGAGAAGATATCATTCAAAAGTACTTAGATAATAGTAATAATTTTAATAATTTACATTAATTACATAATAAATAATAATCTATGACCATTAATGAAAAAATATCAATTTGTTAGGGGGACAAAATTGTCATTTGAAATGGTTATTAATGTATGTATTATTTTTCGTTTTAACTAAATAAATTTGGTCTAAAATACCTGTATATCATTGTATTACTCTTTACAAAGAGGTATAGTATCAATAATTATGTTCATATATTTTCTCAAATATAAAATAACACAAAGAAAATATTAATTCAACACATAGCAAAACCCTTAAACCACTCGATCCAAATCTATTGATATAGTGACATAAACACTCTTTAGCACCACCACTACCTTATAGAAAAAAAAATCAGCTAATTAATTTTTGTTAAGAAAAACACATATAAATATCATTTTGGATCACAACAAATAAAATCTAAATTTGTTTAAAAAATAAATGGGAAAGGGAATTACGAGGCGATGAATCGATGACAATTTTTTATAACCATCAACTTGTCCCAAATCTTCTCAAAACTCATTATATATAAAAGTCTACACATGTCAACGTGTATATACAAACAAATATAAAGAATTAGATAGAAAATACATACCATTGATCCAATGTTTAGGCGGTTGAAAATGATAACCAGTTCGATGATATTTTCTGGGATTCGTTGCACTCAACGATTGCAGATTCCTAAAAACTTCATGAGAAGCTTTAATCTCATTAAAGCAAAACAATAACACAATAATGATCACTAAAAAAGGACAAAGAAAACAATTCTTTAAAAACACCATTTTTCTTACAGAGAGTATTTTGAAAAACAAAAGAAACTAAGGAAGAAGATGAAAGAGTGTAGAGTGTATTTATAGGAAATTAAATAAAGATTAGTCAGTATTTATAAGGAAAAATAATAAAAATTAGTCAACAAAAAATATAAAAAATAAATGGTCAAAGATTGTTATAACTTATCTACCTATATATCGCATCATTGTCCTCTTATAAAAAATAAATATACCAAAATATACGTTATAATTCAAAAAATACCTATAATTGTTCCATTTTCCCACAATAATGTCTATCTAAAATATCTTGATCCATATCAATTTTGATTATCTTGCCAAAAATGTTTATTCTCTTTACTTTTTATACTAATACATGAAATTAATCGCATAAAATCTTATCCTTTCTGGAGTATTAGTACCGACAAATTAGGGTCGTTCAAAATTAAACCGTAATCGATAAGTTAATCGTAAAATTGGCTTTGTATTAAATTATCAGATTAACAATTGGTCAACGGATTAAAATTTTATATAGTTAACAGTTTATCGATACGGGGGCGAATTACTCAATTTCTTTATTGGGTAAACCGTTAACCCGTTAAGAATTATCGTAGTAATATTTTTACGGTAAGTATATTTATTAAGTAAATACTAATGTGTTTGCACCCTCAAAATTTAGACTTTCATATGTGTCTCATTGTGATTTATAATTACTGAATTACCAGCTTAGATAGAGCTAGAAAAATTGATTTGATTGATGAGAGATCAATCTAATTGTGAGTGAAAGTAAAAGAAGGAAGCATGAAATGTTGAACCCAATACACCGCTCGATAATTATCCGTTAATTTCTAATCTGATATCGAACCAACCGAGAACGTATTGATTGGCTAACGAATTAGTATATTTAAAATCCGATATTCCATGAGTCAAACCGTTAAGCATAATTATCCATATGATCCATCCAATAAGCAACCCCATTATAAATATACGTAGATAAAAATATTATATACTAAATAATGGGTTTAAACTTTAAAATCAAATTTTAATAGAAGACAAAATTCATTTATTAATATGAAGGTTTTATTCCATTTTTTTGCCATATTTTAAAAAAATCATACGGTTATGAAAAATATTTGAAATCTCATTTTATTTTCTCACTATGTAATCTCATTTCTCTCTATCCTTATATATATATATATATACCCAAATGAATAATGTTAATTTTTTAAAATATATTTTTGCTAGAAATTTACGGGATATAACGATAACATTTGTATATTTATAGGATAAATAGTTAAAGAGAAAATACTTTTCAGTTGGAAAGTACCATGTGTATATATATATTTCATACTAACATATATGAATTTCACATATATTTTACTAACACATGTAAATAAACAAAAGATATCATTTAGTATATTTATATTGTTTATAGATGTGCACTATATTTGATGTATACCGATAATAAATGATTTTGTCATTTATACAAATAAAATAAAAATTATATTACAATTCGAACCACCAAAGATGTGATATGGAACAAAAAATAAGAGATTTTACTTATATATAAAGAAAATAGGAAAAACGTTAGCAATTTATATATATAGAAAATAGGAAAAAACTATAACAATTTTTTTTAATGATTATATCAACTACAGATAAATATTCTGACCTAAAATAGAAAGTTTTGTTTTGGATGGATTCAAGTTCAACTGAATTTTAGGATTTTTTTTCTTTAGAAATTTATTAATAATAAATTAGTTGCTATAAATGAAACATAATTAGGTTCTTCATTCGTTTAAAGCGAAAGATTAGGACGATATATTCTATTGATTATCAGTATTTAGTTTTGAATATATCAATAGACTATTGTTTTTGACTTATTTTTGCGTTTATAAGAATAAAGTCTATGTACATGTTATCATTTCTAAATTCCACTTTATGAAATTACACTGTTATTATTATTGCTTATGCCAATAATCGAGGAAACATAGGAATTATACATTGAAAGGAATCCCAAGTTATTTTAGGAGTAAGAACAACTTGAAATGTTTCATCAACTGTCATTAAAATAAGATTGAGAGGTAACTTCAATATTGTAAATCAAATGCAAGATTAATTTTAGGAAATGATACCTAGCTAGGAGAGGTTTCTGAAATTATTTTTTTAACATTGTAAATCAAAAGTGAGATCCAAATCAAATCATTTGAATACCTCCAAAGCTACACAAATTTGAGAAATATGATAACCCTATGTCCCATCGAGTTTTTTTCTTCTAAATTTATCGAGTTTTGAACCTATCCTCGCCACAAGTTTTACATTTTTTTTTTATAGAGATACCATTGATATTTATCGATCACCATTGATTATCCATTGCTATTTGTTTTATTTTAGTATATTAGATAAGGTTTTGGGCCAAATATTTTGTATTATTCCAAGAATGAATAATGTTTTTGTTAATCTTTTACATAGTCTGATTTTGATGGTTACTTTAAGCCGATCATATGTTTTTTTTAAAAGGTATTTGACTGATTATTTGTTTTATATAGTTGATTATGGAGTTCTTGATATGGTCAAACTTCTATAATCAACTTAATTTGACAAGTGTTTTTCAAAAAAATATACTAGGTAAGAAATTGTTTGTGTTTGACTTATTAAATTTCAAAATACATTTGAGCATTTACTAATTAATGTTTGATCAAATTCTTAAAAAGTGCTTCTAAGTATATTTTTTTGAAAGCGTATTTAAAAAAAGTACTTTAGAGGAAAATTTATATCTTTTTAGCTTCTGAATAACAATTTATGTTGCTTGATTATTTGTTTTATAAGTTGATTATGGAATTCTCGATATGGTCACACTTCTATAATCAACTTAATTTGGCAAGTGTTTTTCAAAAAAGTATATTAGGTGAGAAATAGTTTGTGTTTGACTAATTATATTTCAAAATACATTTAAACAGTTGGTAATTAGTGTTTGACCAAACTCTTAAAAAGTGCTTCTAAGTATATTTTCTTGAAAGCGTATTTCGAAAAAGTACTTTAGAGGAAAAACTACATTTTTTTAGGTTCTGAATAACAATTTATGTTGCTTGATTTTTTTTTTTTTATATATATAGTTGATTAGGGAGTCCTTGATAAAGTCAAAGTTCTATAATCAATTTAATTTGACAAGTGTTTTTCAAAAAAGTATACTAGATGAGAAATAATTTGTATTTGACTCTTTATATCACGTTGGTATCATAGAATC